AAGTAGACCGCCTTCCATTATATATCTGTAAAAAAATTATATTAATAAAATATTAAATAAAGTAAAATGTTTAAATAAATTAAATACATAATATTAAAAATATTATAAAATATACCTTAAACAGATAGAGTATTTGAGAGAATTTGAGAGAATATGATATGATGAAAGTAATGGACGAGGAGGTATTTATAGGGACGGTTGGGGGGCAATTAAAGGTATAACGGGCCCCCCGTACCGCGCTATACCCCACGTGTCAGATAAACAGCTATAGCGCGGAACAGGGGTACGTTATATCAACGTGTAAGCTATGTTAGCGTATAGCGCGGTACAGAGGGCGCGCTATACCCCACGTGGCGCCAAATCAGCATATAGCGAGGGGCAAGGAGCGCGCTTTACTGTTACGGGTGTTAGATCAGAAAATATAATCTGATCATGTGTAGATCGATAAATATACCGATCACCGATGATTTTTCGGAAAAACGCCGTATTTAAAGGGGTTATGTGTGAACATTGGAATTGATAATTATAGTTTAATTGAATCTTTTTCATTGTACTTTTGAGACTATGATAAATTCATTATAATTAATATATGTCACTTTACTTTACTTTTGTTTAATTTAGTTTTACTTTTGGAAGAATAAAATGATATTTTTATAATTTATTTTAATAGTTAATAATAATTAATTATTTGAATTGATTATGATATGTATTTTTAAAATTCTAATTTTTTAAGGCTTTCTCCCTTTGTTTGTAAGAAAGATGGTGACGCTAATTTTTTGACGACTATCACTTGTATTTTATCAGAATTTTAGTTGTGTTCTCTTTCTTTTTTAAAATGTTTGAGTTTTTGTATTATTTTGTTTAAAAGTACTGTTTTCTCTAATGGAAACGATGGATGTTTTCTGTTTATTTGTGTTTTTGTATCACAATTTTCTCCTATTTCAAGATTTGTGTTTGTTTAAAATATATATGTAGTTTTGAAAAAAAAAAAGTAAAGTGACTCTTTTGTTATATTTTTCTATCGTGACCGTTCAACTCAGAAAATAAATATAATATGATATTTTGATCAACATTTCTCCATCTTTGACTATTACGGTGCTTGCGTGACAGTTCACGGTGTGACATGGTGTCAACGATACTGATGTGGTAGACCATTTGTCATGTTTTTGAGTTAACAATTTAGTTCATATGTCATGTCATCTGTCACGTTATCAACCATAGTAAACTACCACATCAGTACAGTGAATTGTCATGTCAACACCGTAACAGTCAATGATGAAAGACATTGGTCAAAGGGTAATATTGAATTTATTTCTTAAGTCGGAGGGTCACATTGAGAGAAAAAAATAATATGAGGGTCATATTGAGAGAAAAAAATAATATGAGGATCACATTGATTTTTTTAAGTTACAAACACCTCTGATGCATTTTTGTCTTACATTTAACATTACTTCCCATGTTGAACATTTTTTTTGTTATCTTGTTGATCTATTCGTGATTTGGGTCCTCATAATAGTTTTCATATTAATAGGTTATAGGTGTTTGTAATCACTTAAGATAGATTGTGTGACTTTCTTTGATTTGAGTTACTTATTCAAAAATTTAAACATTAAAAAATATTCTTTTGAGAAGGCGAACAATATATCTCGAAACTAATTACATCGGATGATCATCAAAGTTTTAAAACGTCTAACCTTTAGATGAATTTCTATCTTAAATTTAACATTATTTCTCATGTTGGACATTTTTGTTATCTTGTTATCTATTCCAGATTTGGGTCCTCATTGTGACTTTCTTTGATTTGAGTTATTTATTCAAAATTTTAAGCATTAAAAAATATTCTTTTGAGAAGATGAACAATATATCTTGAAACTAATTACATCGGATGATCATCAAAGTTTTAAAACGTTAAATCTTTAGATGAATTTTGAGTGAGTTTAATAGAAAAGCAATATGAAGAGAAGAAATGAGAGTCAAATATAAATGTTTCTAAACCCATAAATGGTGATCGATGATGAGTGTCGTTTGATTAGTTGCAACGATTGAGAGAGTTGACGAGTTTGTGTATAATAAAAAATAGAAAAAAAACGACCACGTCATCACACTATTAATGATTTAACAATCTAATGACAAAAAAAAACAATGCTGAAATTTTAGTGTAAAAATTGTAAAATTTTAAAATTTAATGATCAAATCAATGCACAAACTAATGTTTAATGACTAATGGGATAGTTCACCCTTAATCCTTTTTTACGCCTAGATTGGGATCTAAAAGCCTCTCTTTTATCATCCAATTACCCAATGCCGTTTTAATTTTTATTTGTAAAAAAGCTAAAGGATTTAAAAAAAACTGAAAATTTATTAACATATACAAGAAGTTATATATCCAATTACCCAACGGTCATCGAGCGTTTCTGTTTCCTCGTGACCTATTCCCTGACGCCGCCTCCATGACTTAAAGATTGTTGTAGAAAGTTATAGTTTTAAAACATAAAGAAATTTCTATATTTTTTTTTCTGTGGGAAAAATGGTTGAAGGTATTTCTTTTTACGAAAGAGAGAACGCCCACCGAAAAGAACACTTCGGATTTCTTTAGAAAAGTAATTTTTCACCCGCATGTTTGATTTTGATTGATTATGAAATGCTACATCAGCGATGATGTGAGGCTTAGCTCTTATTAAATGTTTTGAATTTTACAGTTGTCTCCTTTAAAATATTATATTAGAAAAATCAACAAATAGTAATATTTATATTTTTTTGTTTTATTTAAATAGAAGTGGGGATCAAAACACTAGAGTTTTACACCCGTACGGGGACCATGAAGGTCTCTAAGCACAACGTCCTGAATAGCAGGTGGCAAAAGATCAATAGTCTGGAGAACAGTCGTGGTATCGAAAGTCGTCTTGGCTAAAAGATCAACCACAACATTTGCTTCGCGGGGGATTCGGGAGAACTCAACCTGCCACCACATAAACAACACTATCTCAATAACCAGACAGAAACACAGACAGATCAGTTAACTTGGCTGTCGGAATTCGTAACCTCGTCATTTTGAAGGCTGTGTATGATGCTTGGCCATCCGGTCTTCTCCATCTCACTGTAAAATTGTTCAACAGAACATGCCATTGCTTCTTGGGGCGGCAGCTCCACCGTGCCGGAAAAAACCTTTGCCACCCGTTTCGCTTGAAGTTCCATCACTCTAAAGACCACTGCCTGATTGTGTAAAAAAACTATGTTCATGTCTTTTCCATAAGATAAGCCAAAACCCAGAAGGTCAGGTAAATCTTTTTAAAAATGTGTACCCTGTAAGTTAGTCCCACAAAAGAAAGCCAAGGAGCTAATTTTGGTGGAAACACATGTTTATACAATGGTTCTTCAACACGGTTGTCGTTCACAGTAACTATCCCATTTGGCTTAATAAATGGATAATGGTACTTGTACCTGCAAGATTTCTCTCTCTCTCAAGAGTATTGAAAAGCAAGCATATTAATTCAAAAAGGATAAAGGGATTTAAAATAGGAATACCCGGTGCAATGAATAATGATATCCGGGTTAACAACTGCAATTCAGGTGTTCTAACAGCTTGATGAACTTCTTTTGCAAGGGGGAAATCTCTTTCAAAATCTCAATGCCACTTGGTCCTTTTCCGATGAGAACCGCTATCTGTCAGTCATAATCAGGACAGGGGATGTACTCATAATATTCGAGAGGACCAAAACGATTATCAATAAAAAATACAAAAAAAAACATCTATTACTGCATTTGCATATTCATTTGGAGGACTACAAGGTGATTGTAAACGGTTCCAATACCTTGTTTTTAAACTGTTCAAGAGTACGATAGTTATGACTATGCATTTGCAATCCCGGCCAAGTATCTGTACCTAAAATATGACAAATTATATTTATCTGTTAGAAACAAAAGATTTAAAGCTTTACAAGTTGCATATTTGTTCCATAATAAAATGCAAGTTGTTAAGCGGCATGAATAACAGATACCTCAGAAGTCTGCAATATTTGGCTCAGTGAGATTACCATTGCAAATAACCACAGCCTAGAAAATCTCTTCTTTCGGTTCCCACGTTGAGTCCGTCTCTCGAGTTCTAGTATCAACAGCCCACTCGTGAGTCGCCTCATCAAATAGCTCCACTCGAATCACTTCATGTCCAAATCGAATCAGCTCCTTCAACCCGAAATCCCCGGCAAAATCCTAGAGAAAGCTGAGTACCTCTTAGTGACCCGGAAAAGGCCTCGGAGCATCACCTTCTTTCTTCAAAAATGGATGGTCCATGAAGCTCATGGCGTGCCTAGGAGAAATCACTCGAAGGGATTTATACAGGCTACTATGAACTATTTCACGATTCGGATCAAGACCCAATGGGTGGGTCTCCACCAGTGGATTATAGAGCCGAATACCACCAATTTTGTTGGCCTTTTCTAAAACAGTGACATGGTGGCTTTCTCTTTGAAGCTCTCTGGCTGTAACAAACCCTGCGACGCCTGCTCCTATGACCGCTACCTTATAAGATTCTCCCATTTCCACCACTCAAACGCTCACGTCTTCAGTTAAGAGACCGGGTTTATTCGATTTGGTATCGAGATTCCAATGTCAACGATCTACATTATTGTTGGATAATACAAATCAAAAATAAAATAAAATATATTTTATTAATTGGGCGAGGAAATCAATGGAATAGTTTCAGCTTTCAACCACTCTTAATCCCATGTTCGAGCAGGCCGGCTCAAGTTGTTTACATTTTTATAAATAAATATATAAAAATTAACAAATAATTTAATTATATATTATATCGATAAACTTTGCCATTAAATTTGATCGGATAATCAACAGAGTAACATTTTTTATACATAAGATTAACAAAAGTAAATAGTTTAACGATTTATATGCAACAAAATTAACAGACCAAATTAATATGTTTACTAACAAATTAACTCTAATTTTTATAAAGTACAATGACATACAAATAGATATTGCTTATGGGATTGGTTTTATTTGATTTATGGTGTGTTTAAGTCAATTAGGAGAATCCATTTCTTGGATCCATTTGTCAATATCCCATAGATCTCGAAATTTGTCACCGTAAGAAAACAATTCTTTCAAGTAGGATGCAACCGTCGTATTCTTCAACCAAATTGGTAGCTCTATGTCCATCTGAGCAACAAGCCAGCCTATATGTCGAGGCTGCCAAAAACAAAACAAAACAAAACACAACACAATAAGCAGACAAAAAGAGGGGCAGAGTACTTCAAGTGAGGAAGATTTGGTAGTTTAAGTGCAGACCTCCTTGTACAGAAGATTATGAGTATGGTGTTTGGGCCATCCGTCCTTTTCCATCTCATTGTAAAATTCTTCAACAGAGCATATCATTGCTTCTTGGGTAGGCAACTCTAGTTTGCTTGACAAAACTTTTGCCACCCATTTTGACTGTAATTCTGTCACTAAACTCGTAGCTGCCTGATTGCATAAGCACCCATTTATCATGTTAAAACATTCAACAATGAGTATCTCAAGCAGTTTGAAAATAGTTGAAAGAAATTAAAATAAGTCGTACATACAATAACATAACTTGGAACCAATGATGCCATTACATACGCTACTCGGCTAAGCAAAAGCCTAATATACTCCTCCTTAATGTTCTAATGAAAATTGAAAGACAAGTTTTACCTGGTAAGGTAATCCCACAAAAGAAAGCCAAGGGGCTAAGCTTGGTGGAAACACATGTTGAAATAGTGGTCCAACACGGTTGTCCTCCACAGTAACTATTCCGTTGGACTTAAGAAACGGGAAATGATATTTGTACCTGCAAGAGGATTGAAAGAACCAAGTATTTAAGAGAACAAATTGGTTCTGCAGTAAACTATAAGATATTTGGAAATACCCAGTGCAATGAAGAATAACATCTGCATCCACAATTGATCCATCTTCAAACACCACCTTGCCATCTTTATGTGCACATTCAATCTGTATAGGGAAAAAGAAACATTGAGTTACTTAAAGCTTAACTTTAAACCAACTTAATCAAATGATAAAATGTTTAAGAAACCATCGGATGCTTCCAAACGGTATCACGATTTTCCAGTTTTTTCAACTCGACATTAGGTCCTCTAACAGCTTGATGTACTTGCTTTGCAAGAGGGGCGATCTCTTTCAAAATGTCAAGAGCACTTGCTGAGTTGCCAATGATCACCACTATCTGCAAGCCAGAACCCATATTTTTTACAGAAATTATGTCTTTCCTGGGTTGCTAAAAAGTTTTAAAACATTTATATTTTTGTGCAGTGATTGTAATCCCTATACCTTATTTTCCAACTGTTGTGGGGTTCGATAGTTATGGCTATGCAGCTGTAATCTTGGCCAAGTATCCCAACCTAAAACCATACCATAAAATGATAATGTACTAGCAAAAGAATGGGGTTAAAGAAGATTTCATTTTAGTAGAACCAAATACCTGAAAACGTTGCGATGTTTGGCTCCGTGTTCTTACCATTGCAAATAACTACAGCCTCAAACACTTCCTCTTCCGATTCCCATTTTGACTCTGTTTTTCGAGTCCGAGACTCAACAACCCATTCGTGACTCGCCTCATCAACTAGCTCCACCCGAGTCACTTCATGCTCGAAACGAATCAACTCCATTAATCCAAAGTCCCGAGTAAAATCCTCAAGAAATCTGAGCACCTCTTCATGACCCGGAAAATGCCTCGGATCACCGCCTTCTTTCTTCACAAATGGATAGTCCAAGAGTCCCATGATCTGCCTGGGAAGATTAACTCGAAGAGATTTGTAAAGGCTAGAATGAACAATTTCCCGATTCGGGTCAACGCCCAATGGGTCGGTCTCCACCCGTGGATCATAGAGCCATGTACCACCGACTTTGTAGGCCTTTTCAAAGACAGTGACGTGATGACCTTCTCTTTGAAGCTCCCTGGCCGTAACAAGGCCTGCATAGCCACCACCGATGACCGCTACCTTATAAGATTCTCCCATTTTCAGCTCTTTAACGATCATTGGCTTGCTTCTTCAGTTAAGAAACCGGGTTTGATCTATTCGGTAGGTAGCCAGATTTCAATTGTCAACGATCTTTCACACAATTAATACGGGATTTCGGAGTTCTGACCGATGCAGTTGATTATTAAATTAAGGCTTAATATATACTTTAGCTCCTCTATTTTGAAGTCTACCCACCCACTCTATGCCAAGAGTATTAAATTAAGGCTTAATATATATTGTTTTTTTCGGTCACTTCATTTCTCAACTTTTATTACATTTCATCATTGGTTTTTTATATATATTTTATGTTAAAAAATATGTGTGATCTAATCAAATTTTACCGTACGTAAAAAATATTAAAAAGGCGGCATGGCAGGGAAAGAACAGAAAATCATCAAGGATGACATCTTTGTTTCAGGGGGGTTTATTGACGAAACGAAGAGCTAAAATTCTAAAATAATAAAAATATAAAAATATCGATAATACTTTTATAATTTAATAAAATGAGTAAAAATATATTTATTTTTATTTTTTAAAATAATCAATTATGATTAGATTATAAATTAAAAAAATGAACTCTCTTTTTTTTAGTTTTCTGGAATTATTTTTCAATTTTTATGATTTTTTTTAAAAAAATTTAAAATTCTAAAAATCATGAAAAGTATAAAAAAATTCAAAAATAAGAAGGGTAAACTACAAAATTGGTCATGAATGTTTGGGTTAGTTTTCATTTTATCCAATGAAATTTCAAAAGTAACAAATCGATCTATAACATTATTGATTAATTACAAAAAAGTCACTCAATATTAATAACCATTAACAGACGTAACGGATAACACAGTTAACACGTTAAATCGATTTATAACACGTTAACTGTTTATATGAATAGATTAACTATCACGTTAGAAAATAATTTAAATCTCTTTGACCGGTGCTTAAATATTTAATTGATTTAATTGAACATTACTTTTACGATACCAATTATTTAAATATTTAATTGAACTTTACTTTTAAGATTGTGCTTAAATATTCAATTACATAAATAGCCATTGACAACCACAGCCCACGATAACATGTCAAAAATTAACCTTCAGTACATAGGGTTCACCCTCAAAATTCATGGCTCTCAAAATTAGGATTTTTAGCCCAATAATTGTGGATGAATTTATTAGTTTAATAGAACAACTCAAATTTTAATTTAAGATCTACTATATTTACTATTGTAAAGGGTGAATTCGTCATGTGGAGATAACGAACTTCCCAAAAAATATTTTTTATTAAATTTATCATTTAAATATGTTGAGTTTCGAAAAAATATAATTTTTATTAAAATCTGTCACATTAAGGTAACAAATTCTAATAAAAATATTTTTTATATACTTTATTTATAGGATTGGTTTAGGGTTTTAGGTTTAGTGTATGTGAAGATTAATCGGAAGAATCTATTTCTTGTATCCAACTGTCAGCATCCCACGTGTCACGATAATTATCACCATTTTCCAATATCCCTTTCAAGATGGTGGAGAATAATGTTATTTCCTTCCACCTTTTGGGGAGCCTTAGGTTCAACTGAGCAGCAAGCCAACTTACGTATTCAACCTCGTCGTTCTGGAGGCTGTGAGTATGATGCTTGGGCAACCCCGCCTTCTCCATCTTACTGTAAAGTTCTTCAACGGAAGACATCATCGCTTCTCGGGACGGCAGCTCCACCGTGCCGGACAAAACTTTTGCCACCCATTTTGCTTGTAATTCCATCACTTTAAAGATCACCACCTGATCATGTAAACATCACGAAACTTGAAAACGCATGCAGTCTTTGAACCAGTGACAATAAACAAACGTGTCAGAAAAAAGGTTTACCCTGTAATTTAGTCCCACGAATGAAGCCAAAACTTGGTGTTCTAACAGCTTGATGAACTTGTTTTGCAAGAGGGTTCCTTCAGAATGTCGACGGCATGAACTTGGTCCGTTCCCGATGAGCACCACCGTCTGTCACCATGAACCAAAATCATTGTATGTATTGAATGTTGCAGGGTGATTACAGTTAGTTTTAGTACCTTGTTTTTGAACTGTTCAGGAGTACGGTAACTGTGACTATGCATCTGCAATCCCGGCCAAATATCCCTTCCTAAAATATATGAATTGCAGTTGTTAGAACTGAAGAAAATTGATGTAATGCAAGCTCCAAATGGCATCCATGGACTACCTGGAAATTCTGCAACAATTGGCTCCGTGAAATTACCATTGCAAATGACCACAGCTTCAAAAATCTCTTCTTTTGATTCCCAAGTTGAGTCCGGCTCTCGAGTTCTAGTCTCAACCATCCACTCGTGAGTCACCTCATCAAATAGCTCCACCCGAACCACTTCATGTCCAAATCGAATCAGCTCCATCAACCCGAAATCTCTGGCAAAATCCTGGAGAAACCTGAGGACCTCCGCGTGACCCGGAAACGTCCTCGGATCCCCACCTTCTCTCTTTTCAAAAGGATAGTCCAAGAAGCTCATTGTCTGCCTAGGAACGTTGACTCGAGTGGATTTGTAGAGGCTGCTATGAACTTTTTCACGATTAGGATCAAGACCCAACGGGTCGGTCTCCACCCGTGGATTATACAACCAAGTACCACCAACTTTATCGGCCTTCTCAAAAACAGTGACACGGTGACCTTCTCTTTGAAGCTCCCTGGCCGTAACTAGACCTGCAGTGCCAGCTCCGATGACTGCTACCTTATAAGATGCTCCCATTTTCACCACTATATCCAAGGCTTACACCCCAACCCCCTTTTATAGAGAAGCCTTGAAGCCTTACAAATTTGACAAATCTAGCTTTCATGCCCGCTCTGTTCCATAAAAATATCATTTGTTCAGAAAAAGTATGCCATTGCTAACGATTTTCTTTAGTTCAACCCTTGTTTTTCTTAGTGCATTCATAATTTCTGGAAAGTACTCCATTGCATGGTTTGAACAATCTTTGAGGGACCACTTGTTTCTGAATTGTTGAGGTTGAATTGATAAAATTGGAAGAATGAGTTGGGAGAATAAAAATATGACCGCTAAATGTATTCAATCGGTTAATCTCATAAATGGTGGAATTAAACTAATTAAAATCAAATCAATTATTTTTTTTATTATCAGTAAAATCGAATAAAGTTCAATTGATTCAATTAGTTTTTGTAATTAGGTTAATATAAGTTTAATTTAGATTGTTTTATATGTTAAAATTTGATTGAGTATTGAAAATTTGACGAGTCTAATTATTAAAAATATTTAGATTTTAATTCTTAAGAGATTTGTGTTTAAAGTATATAATATATATATATAATATTTATTTTCAATTAATATTTTTATTAAATATTAAATTAATTTAATATTTAATTATCTGACTGATTAATTAATTAAATTTTAGAATATGCTTGGTGCAATGAAGTTCAAAATTGTAGGGTAGAAGAGGAGAAAATTGAATCCATGATTTTAGTGGTAAAATACCAAAACACCCTTAATTATATTTGAAAATTATTTGCTACTGTAGTTAAAACTGTTGACGATTGGTGATGCTGTGAATCTTTTCAGAATTTTTGCTCACATGTCAAACCTCTATTGTTCTTTGCTTTATACAACCGTGTGGTGCCATGTAGGAGAGTCCCCCACCTATAACAAGAAATTTGAAAATAAAATTTACATTTGAAAAAGAAAGTATTTAGAGGGGTTAGAAGGTAAATTTGTGTGAACATTGGAATTTATAATTATAGTTTAATTGATTCTTTTTTATTGTACTTTTGAGCCTATGATAAATTCATTATAATTAATAAATGTCACTTTACTTTACTTTTGTTTAGTTTAGTTTTACATTTGGAAGAATAAAATTATATTTTTATAATTTATTTTAATAGTTAATAATAATTAATTATTTGAATTGATTATGATATAATTTATTTTTAAAATTCTAATTTTTTAAGGCTTTCTCCCTTTGTTTGTAAGAAAGATGGTGACGCTATTTTTTTGACGACTATCACACTTGTATTTTATCAGAATTTTAGTTGTGTTCTCTTTCTCTTTTTAAATGTTTGAGTTTTTGTATTATTTTGTTTAAAAGTACTGTTTTCTCTAATGGAAATCATGGATGTTTTCTGTTTATTTGTGTTTTTGTATCACAATTTTCTCTCATTTCAAGATTTGTGTTTGTTTAATATATATATATATATATATATATATATATATATATATATATATATATATAGTTTTGAAGAAAAAAATTAAATTGTCTCTCATATTATATTTTTTTATCGTGACTGTTCAACTCAGAAAATAAATTTAATATGACATTTTGATCAACATTTCTTCATCTTTGACCACTACGGTGCTGGCGTGATAGATCATGGTATTGACATGGTGTCAACGGTACTGATGTGGTAGTCTATCTGTCATGTTTTTGAGTTACCAATTTAGTTCATCTGTCATGTCATCCGTCACGTTATCAACCATAGTAAACTACCATGTCAGTACAATGAGCTGACATGTCAACACCGTAACGACAAATAATTAAAGACGTTGGTCAAAGAGTCGTATTGAATTTATTTCTTGAGTTGGAATGTCACATTGAGAGAAAAAAATAATATGAGGACCACCTTAATTTTTTAAGTTACAGACACCTATGATGCATTTTTGTCTTAAATTTAACATACTTCTCATGTTGATATATTCCTGATTTGGGTCCTCATAATAGTTTTCATATTAATAGGTGTTTATAATCACTCAAGATAGATTGTGTGACTTTCTTTGATTTGAGTTATTTATTCAAAATTGTAAACATTAAAAAATATTCTTTTGAGAAGACGAATAATATATCTTGAAACTAATTACATCGGACGATCATCAAAGTTTTAAAACGTTGAATCTTTAGATGAACTTTTATGAATTTTGAGTGAGTTTACTAGAAAAGCAATCTGAAGAGAAGAAATGAGAGTGAAATATACACGTTTCTAAACCCATAAATAGTGATCGATGATGAGTGTCGTTTGATTAGTAGCAACGATTAAGAGAGTTGACGAGTTTATGTATAATAAAAAATAGAAAAAACGATTGAGAAAAAAACGTTTGATTACTATTAATGATTTA